GCACCCCTTTCAGTGGCTGATAGGGTGCCCAACTTTGGAATTACCAGGGACCTCCAATCTCTCATGCCCACGGAGATGATGGGTCAAGTCTAAAGCTATTCATAAGGGATCAGGCTCAGACCAATAGCAACTTGGCATGCTGCAAGGATTTTCAAGTGACGAGGGACAGAGGGGTGGGTACAAAACCCCAAAGGGGCAGGATTCTCAATGCTCCTAACAGGGAGGGAAAGGCCAGGAGGTTGTGGCAAGCTGACTGACAGTTAAGGCTCTGAATCAATTTGCCCCTCATGTTCACAGGTGTCAAGTCGGATGTAGGACCTGAGTCACAGATGGTAAACCCCAGACTGGAACTCAGCCCACGGGTGAGACTGAAGCATGTCAGACAGATATATGGGGTAAAACAAGGCAAGGACAGTAACTCCTTCCTGTTAGCTGCTTTTCCCATTGTTATCCCCACTCTTCTGCTCTCCTACGGGTGAGTTCCAACATCATTTACATCACCTCTGAATGTTGCCTGAAGAGTCGGTGAACCCGCTAAATTTCCCCATCCCTGCCTGTGTGTAAAGAGGCTGTAAGGGGCATTTTTGGTGTCTTGGGTAGATCTGTAAGCCAGGTTTTTTTTTTTGTTTGTTTGTTTTAAAAAGGACTCATTGACCTTTTTCTGCACCCACTGAGGGGAACTGGGTAGCTCCATATTCTGGTGCAATGTGTGTTGGTCACAGTATATTTGGAGCCCATTCACTTTGAAGAGAGGAGCTACGGGAGACTAATGTCCTTGAAAAATGGCAGGTTAAAATCTCTGCTTTAGCAGCTGGAATGAGGCCATTAGCTCTCAGGCTCTGTAGCACTCAAAGCAGCACCAGAACTTTTCTAAACATCAGCCTGAGCAAACCCAAGCGCAAAGTGGTGAACAGTGTTAAAGGTCATTCAATACAGGAGAATCCAAAGTGAGGGGCACCTTAGACTGGATTGCAAGCCACACATTAAATCAGTCCCTGGAAGCAAGAAGAAATGGCTTTTTCTCCTCTGTTAAGAGAAAGATAAGTGCTACAGACTTTCATGTTCCCCCTGCTCAGCTACATTGGGATTTCTTCAATTTTAGGATAGGTGATGAAGAGCATAACACACAGAGATTCATGAGCCTTTCACAAAGTGATGTATCAGTCTTGGGAACAGAGGGCCTGTACCTGAACTGAGAATGGTGGGTCTTGACTTGGCCTGGCGCACTGCTCCGATAGTGGCTGAGCCACTGGTGCTACTGGTAGTCCCCTCGCCCTTACAGGTCAACTGCAGGGAGGAGTCTTGCCCCGGAATGGCAATGGATTTGGCTGTGGAAGGAGGCCTGCAATAGCCAAAAGACAGGATATCAGACGGACACAGATTACCCAAGCAGAAATAGCAGTTTTAAGAGGTGACTGACTAACGGAGCCCTTCCTTCTTCCTTCCTTATGGGGAAGGATGGAAGTCTGCAAGACTCATACACTAATCCAGTCACCTCCTCAAATGTTTTAGATAAACTAAGCAGAGAGCACTCCTTTATGCAAGGAGTTTGTTTTGCTTCTCCTCTGGGTCGTCTCCATATTTTTCCTACATCTTTCTTAAAAAGAACAGACACCAGAACTGTTCACTAAAACTTAAAATCTTTGGAACCATGTGCTCTCCCTGGACATTACTTCAACATTATGTTGCAATAACTACTTGTTGTGTCGACATGGACTACGTTACATTGGAATAACATCAGTTTTTCTGAAATAATGCTGCTGTGTAGACATAGCTGAAGGGACCTTGAGAGATCATCAAGTCCAGTTCCCTGCCCTCGTGGCAGGACAAACCATCATCTAGATCATCCCTGACAGATGTCCATCCAACTTGCTCTTAAATATCTCCAGTGATAGAGATTCCACAGTCTCTCTAGACAATTTATTCCAGTGTTTAACTACCTTGACCATTAGGAAGCTTTTCCTAATGTTCAACCTAAAGCTCCCTTGCTGCAATTTAAGCCCATTGCTTCTTGTCCTATCCTCAGAGGCCAAGGAGAACAATTTTTCTCCCTCCTCCTTGTAACACCTTGTTACGTACTAGAAACTGCTATCATGTCCCCTCTCCGTCTTCTCTTTTCAAAACTAAACAAGCCCAATTCTTTCACATTTCACTCATAGCTCATGGTTTCTAGACCTTTAATCATTTTTGTTGCTCTTTTCTGGACCTTCTCCAATCACCATACTCCAACTGACGCTTAATCAGTGCATAGCAGAGCAGAAGAATTACTTCTCATGTCTTCATGGTTCATCTCATCTGCTCATTTGTATCATTAATCTCTTGATACAGTGAACATTTTTGGAAAATGTATATTAAGTGTCAGATGCTACTAACTGGCAGTTCTAAGAGTTAAAAGGTGACCTTGAACTTGTACTGAGAGAAGGAATTCTATATCTAGAAATGTTTTTCAAACACCTCTGAGAGCCAAATGTTTTCTCCACTTTACAGATGAGTGAACAAGCACAGAGAAAATAAGTGAACCACCCACGTCATACACAGTCTTTGGCAGAGAGGAAGCTAGAATGCCGGAGCCCACATTCCCAGTCATTAGCCTGCTCCCCTCCCCCCACAGTACTTCTGGAGAAGTTATAAAACTGCCTATGTGATCTATGGATAAGACGCACATGATCATATTCGCACGTCACTGGGTTTTATCAGATCTAGGCCAGTTTAGGATTCTGCACCCTTTAGGGAACAGCGTTGAGGCCAAAAACCCATCAAATGTTCCAAATAAGTCTATTCTCTAATGAACTAGGACCCAGAGCAAATGCACAGGCCCAGTAGGAGTGGAAGAAGATTGAGCAACTCACGTTTTGAAGCAGGGGTCCCCAGAGAGCAGGGACATTCCAATTATGACCTAGGGGAGATGGAAATGATACATGTTGTTAGGAACTGCCAATTCCACCAAACTAGTCAGTCCTCAGTAGGGATATCAGCATTGGGTCCTGTGACTGTGAAGGGGGCTTAGGAACTGGGAATTTGCACAGCACTTTGGATCAGCTGGACTGCCTTTTCCTCCAACACAGAAGTAATTTTAGGGGATACAGCAGGGCATTATTTTAAGCCACTAGTATCACTATGCCAAGACATATCAACATCTCAAAAGATGTTGCTATAGCAGCTCCAATGTAGCACTCAAGACTTTCTTCCTGTTCATGTTTTAGCTACAGGCTGTTATTGGAATGCTATTGTTTAACTGCATGTTCGTACACATCAATCCAAGAGTGACTGCGTTGTGTGGAAGCAAGAAACTGCTCATCTGGCTCCAGTCTGGCTTTGGGGAAGGTGCTGCTATGCTACACATCCCAGCCCACAAGGATGCAAATGGGAAGGCTGGGAACAAAATTCTGTACCACAGATTCAGGCAGGATTTCTGAAGAATGCACCAAACTCTAGGACCCTCCCCTGGGGACACTATGTACCTTTAGGATGGAGTTATCTTGCCGGGTGTTCTTGGTATCATACCCTTCCAGCAAGCAGCATCGGACAGTGAATCCAGAGCCAGCAAATTCTGCCAGATTCAGATCAGCAAAACCCAGCTGTGGCCAAGAGAAGACAGAAAAAAAGCTCAAGAGAGACAGTGCATCACACAAAAAACCATCTGAGAGAATGCGTTTGTGGAACAAGGCAGAGGTCTATGCAAACCACTGTGCAATTGTGGTTACATTAGTATCTACTCTTGAGGATGGAAAAAGGTGAACATTTAGGAGCCTGTAGGAAGCCCCTGAATGGAGGAAGGAATCACACTGCTAGCTCTGGGCAGGACAGTGTTAACCAGCCTGCAGTTGTTGCATAACCAAGGACGCAGAAGGCACTCAGGTCAATGATGTGGAAAAAACAGAATCACATACACAAACATAAGGCGGCACTCTATGTACTAAGGCATCCCAGAATGCACTGGAGCCTGCAAGCCAAGAGATGAAAGGATCTCGTTTTAGATGAAACTGACACACTGTTTCTGAGAAACAAGAACAAGACTATCAGACAAGCAAGCTAGAAGTTGCTTGAATTGTGAATATCCAGTTATAAACCTCTGGCCATTCAGTAATACCCAGACCCCCTAGATCTTAGCCATTCTGAAGGCATGCACCTGGAACAGCATTTCCTCACCTCTGTAATGGTTAGTCAGCCAACAGAAAGTTTGGTAAACAGGAAGGAAAAGGAATGTTTTAGGAGATTTTTAATCTTTCTAAACCTTAGTTCTTTTCATAAACTAGAGAAGAAATGACACAGGTTGAGTGAGAATGCAAAACAAAATATAAACAGAGCAGACAAGAAGGAAAGCAGCAAAGTAAATACACAGAGCAAGTGTGTTGATAGGGGAACATCTAAGAACTGAGTAAAAAGGAAGCATTTGTGCTTCTCTGCACTCCTGGTCCTTTGAAGATTTGTTATGATCATAGTCCAGGTGAGAGTGTCAATCAAAGAAGCCAATATGATTGCTCATATTCTCTGCATTTTCTGGTGAAAAGTGCTCTCTTTGATCCATTCAGTCCAATCAGAACCAGCTGCAGCCTCTGCCCTGTTGATGCGTTTGAACAAGTTACACAACTGCAAGTGAGAAAAGCCTTGCACTCTTCTATGGGCAGGCCTCTCTCTCAGGGAATACAATGTCAGCTGTTACACTACAAACTGCAATATAGATTCGGGGTTTTGAGCTTCTTTTAGGAAGGAGCACAGAGCCTGGTTGTTAAGAAAGCTATCTGGGAGCAGACAAGGAAACATTTTCTCATCTTGTGAGTTTTTTCTTGCCACTGGAAACAGCTGAGTGGGGCTCAGTTCAGAATTCCCCTGTTTTTATCTGACTCTTACCTGTTGGCAAACAAACTCCACTCTCTCTTGCAGGCCAGCAGCTTGACACTCAAAAGGGACAATGCTATTCCTTCTGCTCTTGAATCAAAAGGCTGACCCAAGCTCATCAGTGGCTATTTCTACACCGGCACTTCACAGCACTGCAGTTTTCTGGCTCAGGGGTGTGAACTTAGGGTCAAGCACAGCAAATTACAGCGCTGTAAAGCACCAGTGTCAACGAGGTCATGGTGCCTCATACAGACAGTTTCCATAGAGCACGCTTCCAACGCTCACGTTGTGGCCACACTTTCAGGTTAAAGTAGGGATATAAGAGAATAGCTGTTTAAATAGTTAACCAATAAGCAGGAGCTCATTGGTTACCGGTAACAGTTACACACCACCTTCCAGCCCCGCTGCCAGGGAGCTGTCTGTACCATTACACAGCATCTTTTCCCTAGGGTGGACCAACCTTGACACCCTACTATCCACTGCACAGATACAACCCACCTCCCCTACTGCAGGGGAATAAAGTAATGCAAAGCTTTACACAGCATGCTGGGGCCAGGAACATTTTCCAGGAAGCAGACTCCCAGCACAGGGAGGGATCTGCTGGAAGTCAGACACTGCAGGAGGAAGGATCCCTTAATGAAAGGATGTTCTCAGCTGTAACCTTTCAGAGCACATTCCCTCATTTTTCCAACCAGCTGACAGCATAAATCATCCGGTTTATGGACAACGGGAGGGTTGGGTGGGGAGAAGGAAGTTTCCACTTCAACAGTACATGCCGCTGGCCCAGATTCATAACACCTCTGGTCTGCCCACCCTCCTGCAGCGACATTAATATCAAGGCCAAACCCAACTTCTGTCCTCTGCACAAAGCCGGCTGGAAGCATCAGCAAGCGAGTCTCAGTATCTCATAGCCACTTTGGCAGCAGAACTGAGGAGAATGTTCACAAGGGCCCAGTACCCTCAGTAACAGCAGAAGAATAGGGATGTAAAATCCCATTTAATTGGCTAACCAATTAATATATTGTTTAACCAGTTAACAGATTAAAGCAGAAGGTCTACTCCAGACAGACTGGAGTGGCTCCCCACCCCCACTGCTCCAGCTGGTCAGAGCAGCACCTGCCTGCAGCTCCCCCACTGCAGGCAAGGGTTGCTCCGGTGTCGCAGTCAGAACAGCCCCGGCCTGTGGGGTCCCTGGGCCTGCCACAGACAGAGACTGCTCGGGCCAGGCCTGCCACAGGCAGAGGCTGCCCCAGCCCCCACCGTTTAACCTTCACACCGCTGCAGGAGAGGCCCTGTGATATCTTCATTGTTTTGGGCTACTGCTCTTCTCACAGCTCAAGGAGATTGTGTTCTGCTGAGCACAGTGAGGAGTTGATAAAGAGAGAAAGGAAGAGTCCTGCAACGTGGGAAGGATATTCATCTGCATGCAACTTGTTGATGCCTAGGCCACACAAACCATCCGGTGCAGGGGTCTCCAATCTTTTTAAACACAAGATCAGTATTTGAATTTAAATCAATCCAGGATCTACCTCAGACCCAAATATCCTTGTCCTACCTCTTTAGAGTTGCCAGATACTTTCACAAAAAATACCGAACATGGTGGGAAAAAATTAGTTGAGGGAAAAAAAACAAAAAAACCCATCACCACCACCACCAGGGACCAAAGTTGTTAAGCGCAAAAAAACCCAAACAAAAAACAAACAAACAAACACCATCAACCCCCCCCCCCAAACAACAACTCCCCCAAACACCACGAACAACTGCGCACACACACAAAAACAGTCGGTATGCCCTTAAATGCCCCCCTACTCCCTGGGGAAGAATGTCCCAAGCAGCCTTCCATCCAAGAAAAACAGAAAATACCAGACATTTTACATGTCTGGTATTTTGTTTTGTTTTTAACCGGACAGAGTCTGCAAATACCGGACTCTCCGGACCAATACTGGACACCTGGCAACCCTACACCTCTTTCCCCACCCCTTCTTTGATGCCTGGCCCTGCCCTACCTCTTCTCCAAGGCTCTGCCCTGCTTACTCTGTGGAGGGGGGTACAGGGATGGGAGAAGGGGGACACCCTGACATTAGTGGGTGTTTCTGTCTCCCCACCCTGCAGAGCAAGGAGGATGCTCCTGGGGCAGCTCCAAGACAGAGAGCAAGAGAAGCAGGGCAGTGGGGGGCGGGTGAGGGAGGGGGGAAGGGGCAGATGATACTCTTCCAGCCAAACCAGTCAGGATCCCATTAGAGGCTCCAAGATCTACCAGTAGTTCCTGATCTACTGGTTGGTCACCACCACCATCTCTGCTTATCTTTGGGTAGGTTTTCACTTCAGAGGTTACTTCTTGGGTGACTGGCATGGGGGTTTACCTAGCACAGGTATGAGCAGCCACCCTGCAAAGCACTAGTGGTGTGACAGTGTTCTCAGCCATGCTGCACTTACCTGTGTGGTTCTTTTGTGGTGTAGTGGGGGCTCCATGATTTTCCCAGTAAACTGTGGGAGGACTTGTTTGTCCTTCTGGGAAGGCTTTGAAGTATTATCAGTACTTGAGTAGTTTAACCTGCCTACTTTGCAGCGAGGCAGGGAGGGGCATAGGCTATCAGCCCAAATGAAAGCAGCATTGGGAGATTGTATGTCTTAGGATGGGCCAGATATCCCAGGGTTAAAGTACCACTACACTCAGCTCAAAGGTGGGTGTGCGTGCATGCAGAGGGCTGAGGGGGGGCCAGGGCAACCCCCAAGTAAAAGCCTGGGATAACTCTGCAGTGACATTCTCAGAGGCTCTTCCAATCCAACACTTCCAAGCAGTAAGTGAAAATTCAGGACCTAGACTAAAGAGGGAACAGGCATGTATACACGCTGCTAACCATGTTACATGCATGTCCCTCAAGCTGTGTGGCTCTCTTGTTGGGTCAGCAGCTCTAAAGAATGGAAAGACGGCTTTTTCAAATGTGAATTTAGCGAATGAGAAACGGATGGACAGCCCTGGAGACTGTTCCTGTGCTGTGACTAATTATGACCTCAGTGTGGGCAGCAACAGCTTCCTCCACCCGCATGCAAGGGTGAGAGCCTCATTCAGGCTCCAAAGCCGATTCCATCCTTGGTCTCAGACACTGCCAATAAAAGGTGCTAATTGGAACAAACTGCAACGGGACTTTATGTTACAAGAAAACCTGCCCACTGGGCACTGACCCTCAACTCATTTCACAGAGGCCAAACACTTTCGGCACCATGCAGATTTATGACTCTTAAACCAACCCAATCTCTCCTTCCTACAGCAGGATAAGAGAGGGAAGAGACTGCCTGCCAGAAGGAGAAAAGTCATCAATTCCCCATTAAAACCCCTTGGTTGATCAATCTCTTTTCCAGGTGTACAGTGCTTTCCATGAAAGCACTAACTCCAGCTAAGCTCCAGGCCACAGCTCTAAGGGCCAGCAAACATGGGTACCTGGTGTCCAAGCTCGGGTGTGTGGGTGTCTGTTTATTAGGATGACTCTGAGCAGCAGAATTCACATCTGCCTAGGAACTTCCCCTAAGTTTAAGGATGTGCAGGATCAGCAGTTTTGGGCCAGCCCCATCTTTAGAATTCACACAATCGGATCTGGATTCTGTCCCAGCAAATCACAGCCCTTCAGTTTTGGGGAAATGAAATAATCCCATCCCCAACTACAACTAACTGCTCTTTCCTCACACTGCTTTAACACAAACACAGCCCTGCTTCCTGAGAAAGTCCATCGCTGGCCATTGATCAGAGCACTGATGGGTCAGAGGCACTGAGTGAACTCAGGAAAGCTCAGCGTTCTGTTCCTTTTGCACGCTTTTTCTCTTACCTTGGAGTAGGTTTTTCCGCCCTTCAGCTCCTACAATGGGAAACACGAAAAACAGGAAAAGGAGCGATGAGCTTTACTGTGGGAACAAAGGGAAACTCATCACACTGTCAGTGCTAAATAGGCATCCAGGATTTCACCCCTCCCTGGCACTTAGGTACCACCTTGCTAGGCTCCCCTTCACAGGGGGAAGGTGGGGTGTGGATGCATGAGGGACTATTTCCAGTCAACCAGCGCAAGCACAAAGCTTCTGATCACCATTTGGAGTCCATTAATTCCTTTCACATCTCCAGGACATGACAGTCATGGAGTTATACTAATACATCTAGCTGTTGCAGATGTGCCCATGACAGATGTGAGTCAGGTACTTACCTTACGCACAGATACTCGGCAGATGCAGGGATCCAGGAGACCAGTGGCAGGATTGGCACTCATTTTACACACAAAAGTGAATTTCTTCCTCCAGCGGACACAGTTCTCCTGCACTTCTTCTCTATAGGGGGGGAAAAAATCATGAAAAAGCAGCCTGAAAAGAAGGTACAAGCTGATCAAGCCAATCCCAGCTGCAAAACCTTCTGGCGCGAAGAGCTCTCAGATCTGCAAAGCTCCATTTGCAGGACATTCCAATCAACCTCAGTCTGAAATTATCACACAGTTCTGGGTATTTAGGTGCCGGAGAATTCCCCGGGCCAGCAGACAGGGTCCAATCCAAGTGACATTATTAGACAGCTCCTCTACCCTGAGCTTTAAAACAGAATTTGGGGACAATGTTCAAACATTTTCAGCTAAACATCTTAGTTGGCTGATAATCCAGTGTGGATGGGGCTAAACTCTGTTGGAATCAAGTTTAAGAACTAGTTTCTAGCCCATCTTGCTGGCTAGGCCGTGGTCACAAATTTAACCACATGCCTTACAAGGCAAGCACATTACCTATCCCATAACTCTGTTCTCATTCTAGGTTCCAACTCAGCAGCTTTACAGCAGTGATTCTCAGGGCATGTGTCATAATTATGAGGGTTAGCCAGCAGCCTGGGGATTAAGGGGTTAATTAACTACACCTAGCCAGGTGGAGTGACCAGTAGGAATGTAGGTGGGACTTTCAAACTGGGACAAAGGAATTTGGTTTTTTTTTCCTTTCTCCTTTTTATCTCTCTGGGAGAGTCCTCTGCAGCTACAGAGAGGGACAAGCATGTCTCTCTCTCTCTCTCTCTCTAAGAAACAATTCTTCACTTTCTGTAAGTAGGGTAAAGTTTAGGTAGTTTCGTTAGGCTTTATTGTTTTAAGGGTTGGGTATGGGATCTGAGATCTGGCACTGCTTAAGAGGTGTTTGGCGTTTCTTTTTAACTAAGTTCTAGCCCATGGTGTAATTCCTCCATGAGTATATTTTATTACCTTTCCATCTGATCCTTATGCTTGCAACAGGAATATTGTTGTAATAATAAAAGTTTTCTCTTTTCTTTTTATTAACCTGGCATTGGTTACTTGTGTGTCCTGATTTTTATAATAGGGGTGAGATTTCCCAAATGATCTTTCTCCTAATCTCGTTATTAATATTTGGGTGGTGGCAGTGGAAGTTTTATTCCCAAAAATCTAGGTTTTTAAGATTTTGGGGGAAGTTTTATACCAAAGCCTGGCCCCCACTTCTGCATTTATCATGCCAGAGGGGGAAAGGAGCCATAACAGCATGCGTGCGTACCCCTGGGAAATATACAGAGGTCTTCCATCAGTTCATCTAGAGACTTGCCTAGTTCCCCAATAGGCTACATAAAAAGCACTTGTGACATCAGTACAAACTAAAACTTCATATAAGGACTTGTTTATACTGCTCTACATACAATACACTGAAAGAGAAGTACAATTGATTTTATAGTTAGATGCTAAAAATGAGAAAGCAAGCAATTTTTCAGTAATAGAGCGCTGTGACACTTTCGTGTTCAGACACAGAATGTCTGATTTTGTGAGCAAGTGGTTCTTCAATGAGGTGAAACTTTGGGATATACAAGACAAATCAATACTCCAGAAAGTGGTACATTAATTTGGAAAGGTTGAGAGACACTTAGGGGACAGAGGCTCTGCCTGTGGGAGCCCAGGAAAGGAAGCAGGGAAACAACAGACTGAAACCATGCCAGCTGAAGATCCTGTGCTATGTTCTGGGATGTATGTACTGCACCCACAACAGAGGTTGCCCAAGCCCACGAGAGAGATGGCACTGGGGAGGGGAGAACCTGTGCTCAGAGGGAGTTTGGGGATGGCGAAAGCTGCCATCCAATCCCCTACCTAACCCAAGCAACACAAGGCAAGCCAAAAGGTGTTTAAATCAAGTTACTGTAGCCTGAGCCACAGGATGGGAGAGAAATAAAGGCAAAAAGAGAATTGGCTGTATTGTAACTTACAAGGTTTTCAGAGCCAGATTCTTGCCTCTGCAAGGCCCTGAAAGGAAGCAGGGGAAGGGGAAGGGAAAGGGAAGGGAAGGTTTGGAACAAATCCTTTCTTTGGGAAGCTGTGTGCTTGAGCATGGGAGGCCTGTTTGGATATCCCTGCAGAGAGGGTGCTTGGGGCTATTCACAACAAAGGAGCATATCTATTTATAACTCAGGCCTGCCTCGAGCCAATTAAGTTGTCAGGGTATTTGGGGGTGAGAGGCAATAAATCCTGCCATTTGTAACTATTAGTTTGCAATCTCAACACAAGGATTCTCCCCTCCACCTTCTAGCACACTGAAAAAGAGAAAGGAACAAGGGGATCACATCTATTCTGTACTTTAGTTATTAAAAGCAACCCCCATCTCCAACCACAGCATAACGCAAGATAACGAGATCAGAGGTGTGAGGAGGAAATAGCTTCAATACCAGCTCCCAAACCTCCCCAATACTGTTTCTATCTCAGGATAGTCTGACCCACACTTCAAGGTGAAGCCTAACAAGCCTCTCATTCGTGTGGCTTGTATAAACCCAGCAGGGAAATAGAATAAGATGATTACTATTAGCTCAAAAATACTTAATCCTCCCTTATATGCCCCCAAAGGGAGCTGCCACATCCCCTTTTACAGATGGGAAAACAGCTAGTGATTGTCTCTAAGTCAGAGGGATTCTAGTGACTTATGTCAAGATTAGATCTGAGGAATTCCTGGTTCCCACTTCTGCGTTGAAACTGGGGATGTTAAAGTGTAACTGTGCCCGGGCTCATTGGTTAACCTTCACAGTTACATGCAGGCTCCTAGGATGTGCGGGGAGCTGGCTTAAAAACTGGCTCTCTGTGTGCACCAGCTACCAGGGAGCCTGTGTATCAGAGATATAAGAGTCAGAGGGATTGGGAGGATGGATAGGTGGAAGCCGGTGCTCGTGGGGAGCTGGCTTAAAAGCCGGCTCTGCGCACCACGTCCCAGGGAGCCGCTTGCCACCTGTGTGAGAACATATAACTGCTGAATTTTTCAGCAGTTACACGTTTACTTAATTAAATGCATTTTAACATCCCTAGCTCAAACCACTACTCCATGCTTTAGGACCAAAAGTGGCACTTCTCAGAGAGGAAGGATGGCAGAACAAGGAGCAATGGTCTCAAGTTACAGTGGGAGAGGTCTAGATTGGATATTAGGAAAAAATATTTCACTAGGAGGGTGGTGAAGCACTGGAATAGGTTACCTACAGCGGTGGTGGAATCTCCATCCCTAGAGGTTTTTAAGTCTTGGCTTGAAAAAGCCCTGGCTGGGGTGATTTATTTGGGATTGGTTCACAGCCTTGGGCAGGGGGCTGGACTTGATGACCTCCTGAGAGGTCTATGATTCTGTGAAAGGTTTCTCACAATAAAGCATCCTCAGCACCAGTCAATTTGGAAGAACTGCTCATATATATATATATATATTAAAAAAAGGGGGGGCAGGAGGGTAGAATTATTCAAAGAACTCAGACTTATGCAATGCAATTAACTTGCTCTGATGGCAGGTAGCACAAGTGCTGAGAACTCATCAAGGAAAATTCTCTGGGCATGGGATGAGAAATCAATCTAGCAGGTCAAAAATACAAATAAAATGCCATATGTGCTTCAAAGACCCAAGGGGGGCATTTGGGACTGATAGAAGCCCTGCAAACATCAAGGCAGGGAGACATCCATGTTCAAAGCAGTGAATGAAAGGCCGTGTTACAACTTGAAGAATTAGGATACAGGACAAAGAGAATCCTGTCTGCCTCCGGCGAGTCACATATTGCAGTGGTTCCCAACCTTTTTTATAGCAGGGACCGGCAAACCCATTCACAAGCTTTTGGCGGACCAATAACATTTTATCTGTACATTTGCAAATAATGAATATGCAAATAAAATGTTACTAGGTTGCCAATATATGTACCCCAGCTCCAGGCCCCTCATACACTCCAACCCTGACTCCTGCGCCCCCCATATTATGTTACTCAGTCCTAGCCGCTGGAGCAGTCGCCCACTTGGCAGCCTTGGCCTCGGCTGCTGGAGCAGGCGCTGTTCCCCCCCCCCAAGCAGCCTCAGCCACACACCCCAGTGTCACAGCTGGTCTCCACATGGGCCTGCTAGCCAGGCCGCACAGCAGCTGCTGGAGCTGGAACTGGGGCCACAGTGAGGCTGCCCCAATAGGGACAGCCTCACCGCAGCCCTGGCTCCAATTGCAGCACACCCAGCTGCCAACCACTCCACTCACCCTGCTGCTGTGGGTAAGTGGGCGGGAGGGGAATTCCCTTTTGGGAAACCCCAGCATGTAGGGCTAATTAAAAGCTAGGTGCGTGGCCTGGGCAATGTGCCATGGCCTGGCAGGCAGGGGTTTGCGGACTGGTGGTTGGGAACCACTGACATACAGAACTGGCACACACATCAGACTTCATCTAAGGAAGTCAGAGTGCTTTAAACATTAATCCTCAGCTGCTAAGTAGATGGGCATTGTCCCATTTTACAGATGGGAAATTAAGCAATCTTTCATCCAAAATAAGTGCTTTACAGACCTTATGCAGAGCAATCACCCAGAGTTGGGGCAGCCATTTTGCCTCAGCAACACTACAGATTTTCTTGCTCCTTTTCAATGGATGGAGTGTAGCAGCATGTGACTAACACACTTTGTGCAGAAACACACCAAAGCCTGAACTTGGACCCTAAAGGCAGGTCAAAATTAGGAATGGGTTTTCATGCTATTTGGGTTTAATAATTTCTTGGTACCATTAAATCTGTAATTTCTTAAGTAGTGGCACTCACCAGTCCAAACATTTTGAATGACTATACTTTAGTGCGTCAGCATTCACAGACCTGTTAGAAACCTCAGATGTTTTCCTTTGGCAAGATTTGCTGTTAAAATGTACAGATTGGTTTTCTTACATATAATTTGTATTTGTCACTCAGTAGTGGAATGATGAAAATGAACCAACTCCAGCATTAACATTCAAGAAGGAGATGCTGACAAACTCTTGAGGGGACTTAGTTCCAAAAGTGGTACCTGTATTGACTGGGTTTCAAGGAACTGTTATACAATACTAAATATTC